TCACAACCAATTGAGATTTACTCCAAGTACACAAGGCTGGGTCAACCATTCAAAGATCAGAGTGTAACTCATTACTATCAATAGGCTAAAGAAGAGAAATTATATGATCAGATTAAGATATAAAAAGGGCATTTGAAAAAAACCCAACATTTAATCATGATAAAAACTCTCAGCAAACTAAGAAAAAAGGAGTTTAGTTTCTTCAACTTGGTGAGGAACATCTACAGAAACCTATAGTTTGAACAAACCTAAAGCATTAATTCCTGGGGTACCAAGACAATAACTGAAAGTAGAGCAACCATGCAAAGTTAGAGCAGAGAGACAGATATCAAGAAGGAGATTACAGAGGAAAAGGATAACTCCACTGATTTAATATCATTTTTGAGAATTCAGAAAAGTCAGGTTGCAAATGAAAGTCAATTTAACGCTCCAAAAACAAAACAAAACAAAACAAAACACAGTTCCTTCAGTTGCCAATAGCTAACCCTACTGCTGCAGGTGTGGGAATGGGTGGCCTGACTCTTTTTTGCATTTCTGTGGCACTCAATGGATGCAGTTAGAAATGAGTTAAATCGTAAGCCCTCCTTTGGCCAACAGTGCTTTTGTTGTCTCATAAAACAGTGCGATAGGTGGTGGTGACTCTTATGGTCACAGAATAAGAACTGGTGTGGGGCACTGCAGTGACTTTCTGGCACAGAGCAGAGAATTATACAAGGGTGGGGGTTGGGAGGGTGTTCTGCCATCCTTTTCCCTCCTTTAAGCTCTTTTTTTAAAATATTTTTTTTTAGTTGTTGATAGATATTTTATTTTATTTATTTATATGTGGTGCTGAGAATTGAACCCAGTGCCTCATGCATGTCAGGCAAGTGCGCTACCACTTAGCCAAAGTCCTAGCCCCATCCCTCCTTTAAGCTCTGGATGAGTCCTGACCTCTGGGAGAGGTAAAAGAGAGTGGAGAGGGAGGATAACGCAACCAATGAGAATGAAGGTGGAAGGGAAAAGTACTCATAGAGGTGACTGGAGATCCCAAGTTTGAGAAATGGCTGTGGGCCATGAGCAACAGCACCTAAGGGAACCTGGGAGAGGGGACAAGAAGAGGGATGGGGGATGGGAGAGGGAGATAGGACAGGCACATATCTGCATTGTGGATTTCTCCTCATAGCTTGTTGGCTCAGGGAACCCAGGCCATGCCACTCTGTACAATGTGCTTGGTCTTCATAGCCTGTCCACTTATGAGACCCAGTCTGTGTCCATCTTCATGGTACACTCTGTCTCCAATAGCCTGTTTGCTCAGGGGCATGAAGCTGTAGTTGTGTACACTTTGCAGTACACTTTGAACATAGCCTGTTCAATAGGGAGAACTGAGCAGCTGTATATCAAGAAGTAGTTTCATGGTGGGGCTTCCAGATGCCACTATAGTCTATTGGGCCACCCAAATCCCTTGCCTTCCCTACCTCTTCCTGCTGATATTATCTGTTTTGTACCATCATTGATGTATGAGGTTGAAGGACAGCATCATTTAAAAATCTGATCAGTATGAACTAGGGAAAGCAGAATAAGACAGAACCAACCCAATCCCACCCTGGCCTCCCCTTTCAATCTTGCCTTTCCCCTAGGACTTGGAGGTTTTACAATGGCACCTAGTACCTCTGTGGATTTTCCAATTGCCCTCTGAACTGCCTAGCCAGCCTGAACAGACTGCCTGAGAAATCCTGATAACTCAAGTACACCTCTGATTACTGGCTTGACTTTAGTCAGCCACCCTCTCTCTCCCTTTATGGTTCCTGGTAGCATTGTCTATTATTTTCTCTACTAGACTGAGTGCTCCTTGCCTTTCATGCATTATCTCATTTTATCCTCAACAATGCTTTGAGACTAATTCTATATCCCTATTTTATAGATGAGAAAATGGAGGTCTTAAAGTAGAGTCAGTTGTCTATAGAACCTCTATATTCCACTGTGCTCACAACCTCTCTTCACAACCCTAGCTGTGTTCAAGCACTAGACCTAAAAAGAGATTCACAGAAAAAAAAAAATCCCAAAGGGCCTTGACCATGAACAAGTGCTCAATCTCATAAAAAGCACATGATTTAAAGCAATACGTACAGGGATCACAGCCTTTTTGCTGTTGTTCATAAAAAGGATCAGAAACTAGTAGCAGGTAAGGGTAGAGAAAAACAGGTCTTCTAGAAGGTTTCTTTTGGAAATTTGACTTTTTATATACTTTCTTGAAAACAGTTTAGCAATAATTGCATAGACATTGGGTGTGGTGGCCACATACCTTGAATCTCAGCTATTCAGGAGGCTGATAGGAGAATAGCAAGTCCCAGGCCAGCTTGGGCAACACAGTGAGGCTTTCTCTCAAAATAAAAAAAAAGAGCTGGGGGTATAGCAGTTCAGTGCTTGAGGCCCTGGGTTCAATCTCCACTACTTAAAAACATACTGGGACTCTTCAAAAAGGTTAAAGGTGCAGGGTTTCTTTTTGTTTGAAAGTTAGACTGTAGTAATGGTTGCACAATTATGCAAACACACTAAAATACTTAATAGTATTTTTTGAGACAAGGTCTTGCTACCATATGACTTAACAATCCCATTCTTGGATACATAGCCAAATTCAAACAAATTCTAAATGAATATTCATAGCATTTCTATTCATGATAGTCAAAAAAGTGGAAATAACCCAACTGTTCACCAACTGATGGCATAGCTGTACATTGAAATATTACTCTTCCATAAAAGGAAAAAAAATTGATGTTACATTGTGGATAAATCTTGCAAACATTATGCTAAGTTAAAGATACCAATCAAGAAAAACCACGTATCATATGATTCCATTTATATGACAGGTTGAGGACAAGCAAACTCAGAGGGGCATAATGTAGACTGGTGGTTTCCTGAGACCAGGGTGTGATGGGGAAATGGGAGTGACTGATGATAGGTACAGGGTTTCTTTCTGTTTCAAAGTTAAGACTGTAGTAATGGTTGCACAATTATGTGAATTCACTAAAACACTTAATAGATATATTTTTTGAGACAAGGTCTTGCTATATTGCTGAGGTTGGCCTCAGATTTGTGACCCTCCTACCTCAGTCTCCCGAGTTGATGGGATTATAGGCATGAGCCACTGTACCAGGCTAAAAACACATTAAATGAATGAATTATAAATATAAATTGAATTTATATCTCAATAAAGTGTTTAAAAACACATGAACCATTGGAGTGTGGCTGAGGCAGGAGGATTGCAAGTTCAAGCCAGCCTTAGCAACATTGTCTCAAAATAAAAAATAAAAAGGGTTGGGGATATAGCTCAGTGGTAGAGTACCCCTGGATTCAGGCTCTAGTACCAAAAAATACTTGAACTATAAATTCCTAAAATCCTCCTTTATAGTAGGACAATACTATACAATAGTATATGATAGTAGGACAATAGTATACAATCAGTAGTGGATGATGTCCAGAATGTTTATCACGCCTTGTTTGTAATTGCAAAAGCACAGGAAGATTCTGGCTATCTATCATTTGAGGAACAGTTTTTTCATGAGGGACTAATATGCGACTATGAAACTCTTATATTAGATCTCTATTTCCTTGGGCAGACATTCTGGCTAGAATATTAAGTGAGGAAAATAAGTTACAGAATAATTTGTAGCAAACCAACCCAATCTGCACACACAAACCTTCTCCCTCTAAAGCCAGGAGTCATGTACTCCACGTGTGGTGCACAGGGAGTACCTGCCAGGAGGTTGCTACCTTCTTCTGGGTTCAGCTTTCACTGGTTTCAATAAGTATGTATTACTTTCACTATTAAATAATTTTTAAAAAGTTAAAAAAGAAAGCATTTTTAATGCTGTTTTCAGCTCCAGACCCATATATACAACCAGCTTTGAAACATCTCAGATGTAATGAAATCACCCAAACTCTCCAGACATAATGAGATAGTTCCCTTCAAAGTTGCCTTACACATGTGTCCTGCTTTGGCAATTTATAGCACTACCTTTACTTCCTCACCCAAGCCTAAAGCTTGGCTGTAGCTGCATAATCCTCTCCCTCTATATATGTCCTCTATCCTGTGGTCCGATTCATCACTTACCAACTTTCCTAATTAAACCCACTCCTGGGTTTACTTTTATATTGCTGCCACAACTGTCATCCTGGTCCCTCCATCTACTCTGTAGGAATGGATGTCAGACCATGTATTTTCTCTATGGATGACAGAGCATACTCTTTTTTTTTTTTTTTTTTTTTTTTGGTGTCAGGGAATGAACCAAGGGGCACTTTACCACTGAACCAGATTCCCAGCCCTTTTTTATATTTTATTTGGAGACTGGGTTGCACTGAGTTGCTTAAGGCCTCACTAAGTTGCTGAGGCTGGTTTTTTAAAAATTATTTATTTTAACTATGTATATATGACAGCAGAATGCATTTTGATTCATTATACACAACTGCAGCACAATTTTTCATTTCTCTGATTGTACATGATTGCGGAGGCTGGTTTTGAACTCTTGATCCTCCTACCTCAGCCTCCTAAGCCGCTAGGATTCCAGGCGTGTACCACCATGCCTGAACAGAGTATACTTTTGATTGGGTCATCTAGTATCCTCTTAGTTCCTTCACCCAGTTGCCTATCCTGCCTGCTCTAGGGTATCCCTGGCTTACCAGGTTTCTCCTGTCCATTGCCTTTATTGATAAGTCCTGTTCCTTGCTTCTTTCCCTGACATAATTTGTCCCACCCACTCTTCAGATCTCAGTTCAAGCCTCTTGTCTTTAGGGAGCTTCCTGACTTCCCCAACAAGGTGAGGGCCTGATTACTGGAAAATGGAGCACTTGAAATTCTGCAGTCTTAGGTTTGTTTGGTCTGAGAGTCAAGAAGCTCTTTTTATTTTTTGTACATTCCAAGTAGGCACTCAACAAAAACTTGTTGAACAAACAGGTAAATGAATACAAAATAATACAATATTTAAGACAATATAAATATTATTTCCAATGAGAAGGCTGCCCACCTTGCACGCTGCAAATAGAATTAACCGGTGTGAGGGAGTCTAGTTCATCCAGTATCACTGGGCCATTCAGCTCACAGGAGCCAGCGCCAGAGGCCATACCCCAAAAGGGTTTTTGAAGCAACAGGACAGTCCGTTCAACACAGACAATCTGACCTGCCAACAAAGATACTTCAGATTATTGAAATGTTGAAGAAAAATGTGAATTCTCCTGCCAGTAAAGATAGTCTCCTTTCCATCCTCCCAAAGTGATGCAAGTATAAGGGTGCAATTGTGGGGACAGTCTGTTCCTAATACCAGGTCATAGTTTGGGAGGCTGATTATATACAGGAAGCTGTACTACATAATCCTGAGGAAAATGGAGCCAGTTTTCTTTCTTTTGGAGAGATTTTATACATATAGAAGTGGCCTCCAGTGAGCTAAGCTGGAAAAGCATGCAAATACTAAATTCAACTTCATTTTGAAAAGAGTAATTTTGTGATACATTAAATTTACTATGTAAAAAAAATACAGTTTAGGCGGGATTTTAGTTTGACACCTAGGTAAAAAGGACTAAAAAGTATATATATTTCTAATGTTCTAGTTTTTGGTTTGTTTTAAAAAGAAATCACCCAAATCATGACTTCAGATGGCTTCTACACCACTATAGACAATCATGGAGTGACTGATGGGATCACTACAGGGTACACTAGAACCTTGGAGTACTGTGCAGATAGCCATGAACAGGGTTCAGCAAAAGCCTAAACTGGTAACATGGGCCTCTGCAGGGCACAGGTCATGTCTGTCTTGGGCTATGTGATGGTGCCAGCAGTGCTGAGCAAGGTGCATTTGGAAGCCATAGGAGACATCATATGGACACTGATGAGTCACCCCAATCAAAACTGTGGAGAAGATGCAAGCACACCCTGATCTCGGAGAGCATCCCTGAAGAGGATGCTATGAGGTGCAGCCGTGGAGAGTGCTTCTAGGATTTCTGGACCCAGGACACATGAGGGGGTCACACAAACTGGCAGGATTTTGGGGAGGTGGTGGTCATTCCCATCCTTCATTTGCAGGGTGATGTCAGTCACCAACAGCCAAATCTCCTTTTGTGCCAAAAGAAGCAGACTCTTCAGCTACAAGTTCAAAGTAAAGACTATTAACTATTCTTATATCCAAAATTAATTTTTAAAAGCAACAATCTTAATGATCATTATCACTAGCAAGTTATTATTTCAAAATACTTTAAAATACACAACAGGAGTTTGGGCATGGTGGCACATGCCTATAATCACAGTGACTCAGCAGGCCAAGGCAGGAGGAACCAAATTTGAGGTCAACACAAGAAACTTAGTGAGATCCTGCCTCAAAATAAAATAAAAAGGATTATGGATGTAGCTCAGTGGTTAAGTGCCCTTTGAGTCAATCCCCAGTTTACAACCAAACCAAACCAAACCCCCAAAACATACTATAGACTTAGCACACAGGTCACTAGCCCCATTAACATAGCTATGTGCCCAACTGTGCACCTGTTTAATGGATCCCTTTGTTGGAATACAAACCACACTTTGCAGGCAGTGCTCTACTTGTCTTCTGACCTACTCAGGTAAATTTTATTGTTCATTCTTTCTTGTTCTGAGTTTGTATACCTAGAATCTATCTTTTATCTAGAGCATACACATTCTTCTCTTAGAGTAGCTGCAAGTTTCCTGAGGGTTAAGACTACATCTCACTCACCAACAGACTTTTTGTACAGGACCTTGGTATAAAGTAGGTGTCATAAATATCTGTATCTGTAACAGCTTTTATTTTTCTTATTTTTTGTCTTCTTTACTTTAATTATATTTTTCCCCTAATCTGCAAAAGTTATAATGTCCTTCCAAATTCTATTGAACTGGCAGTCTTCCCCTGCCCATTGGCCAGGGATTAGGTCGTAGTAGCTACAAATGGACCAAAGACAGATAATATGGCTAGGGCCTGAGGGCATGGCTAGCTTGAGGGTCAGCTTGTTTTGCTGGCATGGACTGTCAGGTGAAGCTGAGAATTGCACATGGTTGGCTAATAGAACTCAACAGAGGTGAACTCCGTGGTCTAGACTGTGGATTGGGAAGGAGAAGGTAGTCTGCATGGTTGGGAGGTTGATTATATACAGGAAACTGCATTGAGTAATACTGAAGACAATGGAGCTAGTTTTCTCTCTGTTGAAGAGGGATTTATACATACAGAAGTGGGGAAGACAGGAGTAAATTCTGTGGTAATGGTCTATGGTTAGTGGTGTTGGTGTGAAACCACAACTCTAAATAAATCTAAATATAGAAGTAGATATGGATGTGGGTGTGCATGKGTGCATGGGTGCATGAATATATACATATGTCTCCTTGCACTATTCAATGAGAGGACCTACAAACAATAACATCCCAATAGCAAATGTAGCTAGAACCTAGACTCTGGCTTCTAAATACCATTTTCCATTGATATCAACCAGGGCTCCTTGAAATGAGGGCTGATTCTAAAGCATAAAATGTCAAGATGACTCTGAAATATTGTGTCAAAAATAAGGGAGGACTCAAAGAATGATGGAAACATGTCTAAAAGATATAGGAGCCAGCCTAAATCTGGTAAAACTTGAGCATCAAAATGAACAACCAAAACAGATTATAACTTACTGAATAAAAAACTAATCCATTGGTCTATACTGACATAAATAAATGACTACAGAAATAAATCAGCAAAATGAAAAGCTCCTAATCAATGCTGAATGTCAGCTAATAAATGTACAAGAAATATATTAAGATATTTATAGTCTCAAAGTATCTTTCCACAAAATGCTTATTAATAAGTAAAATATTTATTTTTAATTAATTAATTTGTTCTAATTTGTTATACATGATAGCAGAATACATTTTGATTCACAGTACACAAGTGGAGCACAATTTTTCATTTCTCTGGCTGTAACACTACACTAAGTAGAGTCAGACCATTTATGTCTTTATAACATGTACCTAGGGTAATGATGTTCATCTTAGTCCACCATCTTTCCTATCCCCATGAAATATTTATTTTTTAACTTCAAAGTGAAAAACCATGGAAACACCATCTTGACCAATTGATAAAACATTACAATTCTTTCTGGGACAAATAAACTATATGTCTCTTGATATGAACACAGTATTTTTTTGGGGGGAGGTACTGGGGATTGAACTCAGGGGCCCTCAACCACTGAGCCACATCCCCAGCTCTATTTTGTATTTTATTTAGACAGGGTCTCACTGAGTTGTATAGCACCTGGCCATTGCCGAGTCTGGCTTTGAACTCGTGATCCTTCTGCCTCAGCCTCCTGAGCTGCTGGGATTACAGGCATAAGCCACTGTGCCCGGCAGAACATTTTATATTAATAGACATGACATTTTTTATACCTTTATTTTCATTTTTATGTGGTGCCAAGGATCAAACCTCCTGCCTCATACATGCCAGGCAAGCGCTCTATCACTGAGCCAAACTCCAACCCTGAACATAGTATTTTTATATGGTATTTCTGTAGAGAATGTTAGAATATATAATCTAATCTGTTCAAGAGATAGCATCAGATAAACCTAAACCAAGGGATATTCTACTAAGTAACTGGTAATCTCAACTAAGTAATCTCAAGGTTGGGCTGGCAATGTGGCTCAGTGGTAGAATACTTGCTTGCATGTACAAGGCCCCCTGGTTATAGTCCCCAGAACCACAAAAACAAAAAGCCAAACATAAGCAAAACATAAGCAAAGATAAATATGTATTCCATCTAAGAAAGATGAAAGAGATATGACCTGAGCATACTGCATGACCCTGTATCAGATCCTGGAGTTACAAAAGTTATTTTTAAAACAATTAGCAAAACCAAAATTTAAAAAATTAGTAGATCTATCAGGAAGGGTAAAGATTTCTACAAAGTTAAGAAATGGTGGGAATTTTGACATTCTTCAAGGATTTTAAAATATTCTTTATGAATACTTGGGATTTGGGCTAAGATCTATCTTTCCAGATACTAATGTACCCAAACCTTTTAATTAACTATAAAATTATCTATATTATAGGGGTATGAAAAAAGTCAGTAACAAGAAATCTTCTTATCTTTATCTTCTATAAAAAGATACCAATAGCCAATTATTTAAAGCAGTGCTACTACCAAGTTCTTGCTAAAATTTTATTAAAAATAGGTGTCTTATTTATAATTGCCCAAACTCGGAAGAAACAAGATGTCCTTCAGTAGCTGAATGGATAAATAGATGTTGGCACTTCCAGACAATGGACTGTTATTTAGAATTAATGAGAAATGAGCTATCAAGTCATGAAAAGACAGAAGCTTAACTGCCTAGGATGAAGTGAAAAAAAGTAGTCTAAGAAGGCTACTCACTGTGATTTTAATTATATAACACTCTGGAGTAGGCAAAACTTTGGAAAGAGTAAACAGTTTAGTGGTTGCTAAGGGTTGGGGAGGAAGGGATAAATAGAGTACAGATGACTTTTGGGGCACTGAAATGATATTATAATGGTGCATACCTGTCTGTATACACGTGTGCAGTGCAAACCAACAGAATGTACATCAAGAATTAACCCTAGCTGGGTGCAGGGGCACACATGTAATCCCAGTGGTTTGGGAGTTTGAGCTGACTAATTGTAACAGAAACCATGTGACCCAAGAAACCTAAAACATTGATGATCTGGCCTGTTATAAGCACAGTCTGCCCACTCCTGAAGTAGATGAATTAGTATCACACTATGATAGCACAATTTTAGTGATATTTTTCTATAGGCAACTCATCGATAACTTAATTAGAGGTTAAGAAATATATTATTTTAGTCATCATATAGCTCTTCCATTGCCTATCACCTATGGATGATTTGAGACATGAAAAAAACATTGTTTAAAATAGATACTCCATAGAAAATAACTTCAGATGCTTTATGTATAAAAGAAAGGCTCCCAACCCAGGCAGCTGAGCTGTGGCCATCTATAAAACATACATGCTTCTTAGAGATTTATTTTTACTTTTATTTTTGTGGAACTGGAAATTGATCTTGGGGGTGCTATACCACTGAGCTCACCCCCAGTCCTTTTCATTTCTAAATTTTGAGATGGGGTCTTGGTAAGTTGCTGAGACTGGCCGTCAACTTGAGATCCATCTACCTCAGACTCCCAAGGTGCTGCGATTATGGGCATGCACCACCACTCTTGGCTAGATTCACATCAGGAGTGAAGACATGAAATGCCATGAGATCCAGCATTTGCTTTGGAATATTTTGCAACAAAAAGTAAAGCCAGAGTGGTGAGTGTCAAACCTTTATAAACCAAGTATAGATTTGTTAAAAGACTGTCCCTGGGGCCACATCTGCACTCTGCCACTTCTGTCCTTGGTGGTGTTGGGTGCCTGGCTGGCCCAGTCCAGGCTACCTGCCCAGGCTTCAGCTTCTTCCACAGGCAATTTCCTGGCATTCCAACCTTCCTGGCTGCAGGTGCAGTGGCAGCAGCAATGGCACCAGGGTGTTGTCTGCTTCCCTTGCACACCCTGGGGGCAGTGCATAGGGGTCCTCCCATTCTCTTCTCATTCTCTTCCACACTGGAGCATATTACTCATGAGTGGACAAGAGCTTGAAAGATAGGATCACCTCTGAGTCCCACAAGATGAGTAGCCTTTGAGAGTGTTCCTTTACCATCCAAGGCCACAGTGATGTCTTGGAGAACTTAGTTCATATATTCAGATTGCCAAGGACAACTTTTTACCTCGTCCACTCCTAGCTGATCCAATAGCAAACTCCTCTAAATTGCCACTTCCTAGAACTTCCCAAGGCCTCAAAGGGACCACAGGGAAGAGGACTCTTCTACCGTAGAAGAGTCCCAGAAGCGTTCCCAGAGTAGATGAACACAATCTTAAGATTCCCAATTCTACCACATAATTGAGATTTCAGCTTCTATTTCTTTTCTTCAACCTGCCTACGTGTCAGAATTTAACAAATAATATAGAACTAAAATCTTCAAGGGTAGAGTTACATCTGTTTTTTTTGTTTTTGTTTTTTAATATCCTAGTACTTAGCATGGTAGCTGGTAGTCCACACCTGTGCTGGAATGAATGTACTACCCCTTCAGCTGGGTCATGTTCACCTGGATTTTAAATGTACTTTTGTATTTTGACACTCCATTAATTTCTAAAAGATTATCCTTATGAGAGAGGGAGACAGGGAGAATGAGAGAATGTTACCTGTGGTCTTTGATAAATCACTCTGGCATAGAAACTGCAGCGGGCACCCAGATTGTCAGTCTGGAAAAACATTGAGAAAGACTGGTAACATCATTCAAAGTATACAACCATGGCAAAAGTACTAAAAAACTTGTTAGAAACAAAGATGTTACCTGGAGAATATCTCTTAGGCAATGGAGAATTGGAGGCTGGTGAAGCTTAGATATGGAGTCTCCTTCAATCATATCAATCTGACCGAGATTGGGATGAACTGAGAGGACGTAACAGAAGGAAGGCGAAGGCAGGTGACTTTTGACCTGTTTAAAATGAAGCCAAAGGTAGAACATGAATGAAGTGTTAAAAGACTCAAATACATCATTCCAATCTATTTTTTCTTATATACATATTTACTTATAGATGTGTACCCTCTCTGGAAGGTTATAAAAGAAGTGGGTTACATTATTTACTTTTGGGACCAAGCATAAGAATGTCTGTATTTCTTAATTTATTATCAATTTAAGATTTCATTTTAGAAATCTATTCTTCAGAGTATATTGAAAATACCATTTGGAAAAACATCTTGTTAATCTATATATGGGCATTTTTGACACCTACTATTGGACTGACAGGACAAGTTCATCAATGTAGTACTCCACTGAAGTCAGCTATACAAAGACATATTCCCTTTTTCAGCTGAGGTATCTATGACCCAAAGCAACCACAGGCTAGCCTCCTGGACAAGGCCCAGGAAGGAGAGAAGGAGAAACTTATTAACTTTTTTCTGCCTTTGAGCTACTACCATAAATAATTTGATAGGGTAGGAATGGACATTCCTAGCTACCCTCATGGTTGTAGGAATATTTACAGATTCCATTGTATTCCTACTGTAAATTGGTAACTAAGTGCTGGTTTCATGAGTGATTGGAAGGGGTGGGAAAATATTGCCTAGTTTATAATGAGGCTAATACTCTGACTGTTGTAACAGTGTGTGAGGACTGCTGTTTAAAAATTCATCATAAATTAACCTGAGAAGCATGTTGTATAGCATGGAAGGGAAAGCAGCCATAGATTGGGCTCCTGAATGAGAAGAGAAAATCCCAATCCCAGTCCTACCTTGTATTCACATACCACCACAAAGGGCCTAGGTACAGAGGGATTCCTGTTGCCACTGTGGAGTCACGGAGCAATGGTGAGAGCCCTGGCTCGGTGGCTAGCACAGAGCAACCTGAGGATGGAGGGCTCCCTGGTGTTGTACCTACCTCTTCACAGGGCTGGCTATGGCCGGGTGCTTTTAGGGGTATTGCTGGGGGCCATATGGTATCAATCAAACTGAAGAGCCCTGGTGTCCTGGGACAAGAAAACACTGTTAAAATTATTTGTCATTAGATGGGATGTGGTGGCACAAGCCTATAATCTTTGCTGTTAGGTAGGCCGGGGCAGGAGGATTAAAAGTTTGAGGTTAGCTTAGGCAACTTAGAAAGATCATGTCTCAAAATAAAATAAAAAGGGCGGGAGATGTAGTTCAGTGGAAGTTAGAGCATTTGACTAGCTTGTGTGAGCTTCAATATCTCATACCATACACACACAAAAAAAGTATGACACAAGATGAATGCAAGATTCTCTTCTTTGTGTAGAATAGAAAAAAATATATACAAGGGACTGGGGGTATACTTCATTGATACATACACGAGTATGTATTCTCCTAGCATACACAAGTCTCTGTTTTCATTACAAAATGAAAACAAAACAACAAAAAACCCAAGAAACTCCAAAACATCATCAATTTCCCTAAATTTTTGTAGCTTCTCAAATAGTGTCCTATGACGTTCACTCCACAAAAGCAAGACTCTGCTCAGTGAGGTTGCTGTGTGGAGGATGCCTGAAGTGTGACTATGGGTTCCCACTGGGTGTTGGCAGAACTTTAAAATGCTATAGGCCCAGGGCTGGGGTTATAGCTCAGTGGTAGAACACTTGCCTAGGGTTTGATTCTCAGCACCACATATAAATAAAATAAAGGTCAATCAACAACTAAAAAAAAAAAAAAAAAAAAAAAAGGGATCACCATTTGACCCAGCTGTCCCTCTCCTCAGTCTATACCCGAAGGACTTAAAAACAGCATACTTTAAGGACCCAGCCACATCAATGTTTATAGCAGCACAATTCACAATAGCTAAACTGTGGAACCAACCTAGATGCCCTTTAGTAGATGAATGGATAAAAAAAATGTGGCATATATACACAACGGAATTTTACTCAGCAATAAAAGAGAATAAAATCATGGCATTTGCAGGTAAATGGCTGGAGTTAGAAGATAATGCTAAGTGAAGTTAGCCAATCCCAAAAAACCAAATGACGAATGTTTTCTTTGATATAAGGAGGCTGATTCATAGAGGGATAAGGAGAGGGAGCATGGGAGGAATAGACAACTCTATAGGGCAGAGGGGTTAGAGGGGAAGGGAGAAGGCATGGGTTAGAAATGATGGTGGAATGTGATGGACATTATTATCCAAAGTACACGTATGAAGACACGAATTGGTGTGAATATACTATGTATACAACCAGAGATGTGAAAAATTGTGCTCTATATATGTAATAAGAATTTAATGMATCCTGCTGTCATATATAAATAAAAAAAAATACTGCTTATAGTCCTGACTGGACATGGCGGCACACGCCTGTAATCCCAGCGGTTTGGGAGGCTGAGACGCTAAAAGCAACTCAGTGAGACCCTGTCTCTAAATAAAATATAAAATAGGACTAGGGATGTGGCTCCATGGTCAAATGTCCCTGAGTTCAATTCTCAGTAAGGGGCAGGGGGAAGCTATAGGCCCTGGGAAACTCTGAAAAAAGACACCTGTGATGTCCTGTGAAACAAAAGATTCTTTAGCTTATAATCAAGAATCACTTTTTGGTATAATCACGAATAGTATCTCTTGCAATCTGCTTTAAGAAATGCTGTTCTATGACAAACAGCCTTAGAAGAGTTGATTGCTTACTTATTTAGAAGCAGCTAAGTGGCTAATTTTTAAAATTTTGGACATTTGACCCTTATTATTATTATTTTTAATGCAGTCTCCTAGATAAGAAAGAGTATCAGTTAAGWAAAAATTTCTTTTTTTTTTTTAAGTAAAAATTTCTTAAAATCAGATTCTTTACTATTTTTTAAAAGTAGAGATGGTTCAGGTGGCAATTGTTGCTTTGTGAACTTGAGTCTTCATCTCGGGCAGCTCAAACATTCAGGTACCTCTGCTGAGGACAAACTTGGTGCAGAAGTTAAACTTTGGCACAAAGTGTATGTTCTTTTCACTACATTTCATCCCTTACTATTCATTTCTGCATAAGATTTCATTTTATTATAGAAGAAATAGAAGAAACATTATTTTAAAAAGCCATTCCTAGGGGCTGTGGCTCAGTGGTAGAGCGCTCGCCTAGCATGCATGAGATGTTGGGTTCGATCCTCAGCACCACATAAAAATAAATAAAATAAAGGTATTGTGTCCAATTACAACTAAAAAAAAAAAAAAGAAGCCATTCCTAGGGCTAGGGCTGTGGCTCAGTGGTAGCGCACTTGCCTGGCATGTTCTATTCTCAGCACCAAATATAAATAAACAAAATAAAGGTCTATCATCAAGTAAAAAGAATATTTTAAAAAGCCATTCCTTTAAAATATTTTTTGGTTTGATTTCTGCAGTGCTGGGGATAGAACCCAGAGCCTCATGTGCCAGGCAAGTCCTCTAGCACTAAGCTACATCCCCAGCACCCTTTTAGAAATTTTTTATTATTTTACTTTTTAATTTGTTCAAATTAATTATATATGACAGTAGAATGCATTTTGACACATTGTACACAAATGGAGCACAACTTCTCCTTCCTCTACATGGTGTAGAGTCACAATGGAAATTCAATCATACAAGTATATAATGTCTGTCTCATTGAATCATCCTTCCCATCCCCAAACCCCCTCACCTAAAATATTTTTAAACAGCAAACAGGCTGTCTAATAGGGACAGACTACCTTAATTTGTCTTTTAAAAAGTTAATAAAAGTTTTAATTTAAAAAGCTTTTAAAATAAATGTTTAAATAGAGAAAAAGGACATACAAATAACATCCATATGACTGTGATATGATTAAAAATAGTTTGATGCTGGGGGTGTGGCTTAGTGGTGGAATGTGTGCTTAGCATGTGAAAGGACCTGGGTTCACTCCCCAGAACCACAAGAAAAAAACAAGGTAACATCATTATGCCAGAATAAATTTCTTGGGATATTCCTTAATTTATAGAATATATAATGAATATGCAGCAAAATTTGGAACTTCAAACTGTGACAAAAATGTTTACAGGTATTTGATAGAATTCTGTCATTCTTAACCTCTGTGTTTGAAATCCAAAGCAGACAGGATGAGAATCTGGCTCCCCACCTGCTCCTATTTATAGGCTTTGCAATGGCCACAGCTCTCTGACAGCAGTTCCCTGGGCAGATTCCCTTCCAGATGGCAAAGGTGGAATGGGACAATATTGCTAACCATCAAGCAGGGAAAAGCTGCACTTCTCACCATAGCCAATCATGGTTTCCCCTCACCCTCTCAGCTGTCTCCTTAAAGTCAATTGCATGTGATAAGTAAGAAAAGAGAGGAGGATCTGGAAACAGGTAGGATACATGGAGGAGGATGGCACAGGCATTGGGGACAGTCTTGGGCAGAAAGCACAGGCTGAAAGAAAGACAGGTGGATGCTTCAGGAAGTAGGAGACACAAGAAGTAGCAGAATCAGGCTGAGCTCACACAAGCTGCCCTAACCTCCAACCTGGAAACCAAAATCGTCTAAAGCCATAATTCTATTTATAGAAACCAATGTACATTTTAAAGGGAAAGATAAAAATATGTGAACGTGGTCAATTTTGTTTACCAAATTATATACTTCAAATGGTTAAAATGGTAAATTTTATTGTGCCACAAAAATTAAATTTACTGTGACAAGTAAATGCCAAGTATTTTGATTGGTCTTCTGTCTCTAGAGATAATTGATAGTTCATTTAAAAAAACACTACTCCCTTCTGTGTGAAGAAGAATGTCCCAAGTTCTTTATTGTACCTTAGGAATATAACAAGTACAAATATAATTTTGAAATTTGAGATAATTCACATATCAAAAATTCCACCCATTTAAAAAGTATGCAGTATACTTATACTGGTTATTAGTGTAGTCTTACGAGTTATGCAACCATCAATATTAGTATCTATTAAACAGTTACTCTCATTCTTTCTAGCCCCTGACAACCATTACTTTACTTTCTGTCTTAATAAATTTGCCTGTTCTGGACATTTCTTATAAATGGATTCATACCATATATGGCTTTGAATGTGTGTGTGTGTGTGTGCTTGTGCACACTTGTGAGAGAGATGGCATAGTTTTGAGGTACATCCCTCAGAAAATATCAACACTTTGTTCCTTTATGTGGGGGAGGGTACTGGGTATTGAATCCAAGGGTGCTCTATTACTGAGCTACATCCACAATCCTTTTTGTTTTTATTTCAAGACCAGGTCCTGCAAAGTTTCCCAGGCTGGCCTTGAACTTGTGACCTCCTGTTTCAGGTTCCCAAGTGACTGGATTTACAGGCATGCACCACTGTACCTGGCCACTTTGTTCATTTTTATGACTGAATAACATTCCACAGTATGGGTAAAGGACATTTTATTTATCTAGTCATCAATTGGTGGACATTTGGGTTGTTTCCATGTTCAGCTATTCTAAAAACTGCTGCCATGAACAAATTGCACATATATATATATATATTTACACTGGGAATTGAACTCAGGTATGCTTTCCCACTAAGCTACATCTTCAGCCCATTTTTAAAAATTCCTTTTAAATGTTGAAACAGGGTCTCACTAAGTTGCCTATAGCCTCCCTAAACTGCTAAGGTTGGGCCCAAACTTGCAATCCTCCTGCCTCAGCTTCCAAGGTTGCTGTAAACAAATTTTTGTGTGAACATAAAATCTTTATTTCTTTGGATTAATATTCAGAAGTGTAACTGCTGGTTACTGGGTAATTGTACATTTAATTCTTTTAAGAAACCACTACATATTTTCATACAGGTGGCCGCACCACTTTATAGCCAATCAGCAATATATGAGAGTTTCTTTGAATCCTCATTAGTATTTGGTGTTATCATATTTGTACTTTAATATTCTTAACAGAACTGTAGAGGCATCTCACCAAGGTCTTGATTTGCTTTTTCCTAAAGGCTAGTGATGGTAAGCATCTTTTTACTTGCTAATCTGCCATGATGTATATCCTCTATCTTCATGTTCTTTTCCTATTTTCTAATCAGACTCTTTGTTTCTGT